CGACAAAGGTTCTGACAGTCATTCCTACATAATAGGAGTCTTCTAAATTCAATGGCGTCCTCAGTTTTGCCGATTGGCTCCACTTTTCGAGATAGCGGTACTGGAAACTTGGGTTAAATTTTAACTATTTTATAAAAAAAACTCCCTCTTTTGAAGATATTTGACTAAAATTGTGCACATAACCGTTTTTTAGTATTACCTTAACTATTCCATAAAAACATCGAAATCGGTTCACTATAACATCTAGCTCCCATGCAATTGATTGATCTGAGACGTTATTGTGCGTTATAACTCCTCCAATTAAGCAGGTAAAAATTTAGTATAGGTTCAATTTAACAAATAGCACGCTTACAATTTATTATACAGATATGAAGTTAGAGTTGTAGCGCACAAACACATATCGGAGTAATCCGTTGTATTGGAGCTATATGTTAAAGTGAACCTAAGGAATAATCAAGGTAATATTATAAAACCGTTATATGCAAAACTTTAGTAAAATAACTTCAAAACTGAGGGAGTTATTTATTAAATGGTTAAAATTTAATCAAATTTTCAGGTTCCAAGCGTAATTTGAACACAAATTATTTTTTTATTTTTTACTTTTGAAGCGCTTGATGAAAATGAATTACACTTAAATTTATCGATTTATTAAGAGATTACGAATAGAATCATATATAAAACATAGGTGTGCCCACAAATCAAAAAATTTAACTTTTTATTTTGAAAGTGTACCTGATTTTTAGATTTTCCCATATACAGCGTGGCGACGAATAACTGTTACCCAGATATTTTTGAGAAATAAAAGAGTCCTTTATAGATTTTGCGAAAAAAGTATTTTATTGTTATTTTTCCACAGATTTTACTTTAGTTGCATTAATTAGTTTTTAAATTTTAATCCTTATTTACATTTGCCAGCAGTGTAAACTTTGAGAGGAAAGTTCATTTGGCACGCAGGTCTTCGTCAGTTAATTTATTCCATATCTTCTGTAACCATAGGCTAATTTTCTCCATTTTGAGTCCCTTATACTCCCCCTTCTGTCCAACCTAAGGCCTCATACTCAAAAATCGAATAGACTCGGAACTGGTGACTAGGACGGTCATTCATTCGACCAACCTTATACAGTTTTTTTCTTTTTTGTACTTTTTTTATACAAAGCCTAAGAAAAAATACACCTGAAAAAGACTTGCGTGCCAAATGAACTTTTCTCTCAAAGTTTACACTGCTGGCAAATGTAAATAAGGATTAAAATTTAAAAACTAATTAATGCAACTAAAGTAAAATCTGTGGAAAATTATCAATAAAATACTTTTTTCGCAAAATCTTTAAAGGACCCTTTTATTTCTCAAAAAAAACCTGGGTAACTGTTATTCGTCGCCATGCTGTATGTATGTATCTACATATCCGTGAAGCCTTTTTAATTATTTTTTATGATGCCTTCAAAATTGCCGTCTTTATTAACTTTTTAATTATTAATGAGGGAGTCTTAAATAAGGCAAAGTAATTTTTTTATTGATTTTATCAGTAAGATTTTCCGTTAAGATATGCCTACATAAAATGTGCATAGCAGGGATGTTGCGAATGTGGAATTTTAGACATCCGCGGATGCGAATGCGGATGCGGATGTTTAAAAGCTAACACCGCGGATGCGGATGCGAATGCGGATGTCATGTATTTTTAAGAAATAATTTAGGTGGGTAAATTAGGTGATTTAGGTAAATAAAAAATGGAACGGTTAATAATTTTTAATAATCTGCCTTATCCTGAGTTTTGCCCGAAAAAAAATTCACCCGAAAATTTGTATTCCGCCCATAGTAAATATGTACATGAAAACCAAAAGTGAAAAGTGAACCGGTTCGGGGAAAATTAAACTCATGATAAGACTGAATGTTTTTAGTACTTGAATTTAAAAATTGGAACATTATACTTAATAAAAACTTTTTGAAGGGTCGCAAATCAAACCAGCGCCACTAAATAACTACTCGCTCAAGGCGACAAACTTGAAAAACTTGAAACTTTGCAAAATTGTAAATTCTTTTCGATTGACACTGCACCAGTTGAGAGGACTTTCAGTTATATTTATTTATTTTTATTGCGGTGCAATAATTACTTTTTGAGAATTTCATCGGCTCTGCAAATGTCGGATGTATCCTCCTGACTTTCATCTTCACAATCTAGCATCATGGCACAACCGTTGTTTAAACACCGTTTTTTTCCAAAGAATTCTTTATTCTCATTCTTTTAGTTCTTTCGGAATTTGGAGAACCTGTCACGTCATCAGCGTTTTTCGATTTTAGTTTTTGTAATTCATTTTTAATGCTTTCTTCTGTGACTGGTGACTGCAATTGCACAGTATTCCAGGGACCGAAACTAACAGTTATTTTTTCCGAGTTAAATTTGGCCTAATACCCGGATAATAAACAAACCGCTTATCCAAATTAAACAAATTTGGTATCATATGAAAGAGGACTGAAATAGCTTTTAAACAGATATAACGAATGAAGGTTACCACCTCTATTTACATTTTTTTTATAACTTAATACTAAAGAAATTCATGTAAATACATACCTGACCCAATGTTTTTTCTATGGTAATTAATTAACATTTTTTATTGAAATATTTTTCAATGTGTGGCTTTTCTCTTTAGACATTTCAGTTTTAAAGCTATTATTTAAGACCTCTTTCATTGGACACCAAACTTGTGTAATTTGGATAAGCGGTTTGTTTATTATCCGGAAAGTAATTTTATTTCTTAATAAAAAATATTTGGCCAAGTTTAACTCGTTAAAAAAAATATCTGTAATTTTCGGTCCCTTGAATATTCGCATTCGCAAAAGATCCGCATTGATTTTTGCGAATGCGAAAGCGAATGCGAATGTTAAAATTAATGCGGAAGCTCCGCGGTTTTGAATGCGAATGCGAATATTCGCAACAACCCTGGTGCATACATATATATATTTATATATATAAAGAGTTTCTGCTTAAAGAAAAGCCATATAGGGTAATTTATCTCTTTGGTTTGTTTTATAAGTTAGTTTTTCTCGATTTAGTATCAACTGCTTTATTTTTACTTTTTTCCTAGCTAAAAATAACAACGTGTGACTTGTCAAATTAAGTCGCAAAAGCTGTTGGGAATTAATCTTTGAGGATGCCAGATAGAATGAGTTAATTTTATAAAAAAAGAGTTTCTTTGATAAAATTTTCATGCCAAAACATAATTCAATGAGCAGAAGAAAAATAGTAATT